ATATATATATATATATATATATATATATATATATATATATTTGTCATTCCGGAGGTTTAAACGAAATTTCGACGAGTCGGCGAGTGCGGCCTCCACGATGGTCTCCGGTAAATGCATTTAGCACGCAAATCGGGGGCTACTTATCTAACTAAAGTACGTCGTACGAAAGAGACGCAGGGACAATACTGAAGATAAGCACACAGATCTGCGTCTACTGGAAGATGTATGATTCTGCGTCAGCTCTGAGTAGCTTATCGAGTACCATAGAGCGTCATATAGAGGTACGATTAATCGACGACGAAGCTGAAGCTTGCATAATGCGATTACGGTAAAGTGCTACTGCGATACTTACATTGGAAAGTGTGCGCTGCAGGTCGAGTTTTAATATCGGCGCAGCAGGTATGCGGGTATGCGAGAAGCGTCGCTTGCGTTCAAACTCTTTTAGCACAGAAGAAGATAGACAGCAGCGCGCGATGTAATATCGAGATATCATTAATGGCGAGTCTGGCGGGAGGATCGTGGTGGGGCTATATTACAGAAGCACATGTAGACTTTGTTTTATTAGCCACGAGCGCAGGAAACGGACTTATTTATTATATATTATAATGCGCCACGTTGCCTGCCATAAGGAGGAGAGACTCCCCGATAAATGCGGCGTCTCGTCTCTCTTCCTCTCTCTCCCTCTCTGCAAACGTCGAATACGAGTGCACAAACGCGTAACATATAACGAACAATAACCAGATCGACCGTTTAATGACGGGAGAGGCTAATCACGCTGGGATAACGCACGTTCCGCGCGTGTATTCGTCAGATCATTTGCGTTCCCGAGTCGTACGTACGTTCGTCCGTTCGTTCGTTGTGTCCGTAGGATTAGAGTGCAGCGACAAACCGTCCGCAAATCACCGCGGGATTAATTCGCTCCGTGCTTGCGCAGAGCCATAAACTTTCGTTTATGTACTCGCGTAACGCGATAGTGTCGATGAGCCGCGCGCGTCCGCTACTCTTCCTCTCTCTCTCTCTCTCTCTCGACGTGTGCGTATGCACAGTCACATGCCGGCGCTCATCGACAAATTGCATCGGCCATCCTGAGCTTTTCCTGGATGGCTGCTGCTCTCTCTCTCTCCTCGTCGTCGCCGGGAAATCGTACACTATTCGCGTTCGATCGAGCGTTCGTGGCAGAGCACGGCGATCGCGACGAAATTACGTCGGCGACACAGGAGGAGAAAAATGCGGGCCGCGCTATTCGGCGGTTGCGATTCGCGTCGCTGCGAAACGGCTCGGAAGCGGCAAACGGGGCGCGACTAGAAGCAGCTAGCGAAGTAATTTTGCTGCGATAAGGTAAAAGACCCCGAGATCGGTGTATTACGCTCGGGGAAAAAATGTTCTCGGGCACAGAAAAGGAAAGTGCTAGATTCGAGTAAATAATAAATAATTATTCCAATACTTATCAAATCCTTGGGAAACTTTCACTTGGATTAAGTATTACTTGAATGTAGCACTTTTTCCTACATTCAAGTAATATATTTCTTTGATCTAAGTAAAGATTTGCTAAGGAATATTGGAGCAATTGATTTTAGCACTTTTTTCTGTACATCTGTAGAATTGATCGACATAATTATGATGAATCTCCTTGACTCGACAGCAACATTATCGAAACTGATATTCGAGATATTAAAACAAGGTATGATGCATCACATCGAAAAGAAACAGTCTTAAGCCAACGATAGGTAATCTCATATATAAACAAGAACATTATATTATTCTTAGAAGATTTTTAATCTTGAATTGAGTGCGAGTAATATTTAAATCAATACAATCAAATCAAGGCTAAAATCTTCTAAGAAGATTATAATATTTATGTTTATACATATGAGAATATCTATTATTGATTTAACACTAATCTTTCTTCTTACAACTGCAATAATATTGCTATTGAATCAAGATTTATCCAAGTAATGGCGCTGAGCAATTTTATTGATACAACAGCATTTTTTCCATACACGAATCGTCGATTGGCGGATATCACGATGAAAAGGAAAGCAATTTTTACAAAAATTTCGCGTTCACCGTCTCTTAACTTATCGCACAAAGTTGTTTGACGAAGATCGACGATTCCAAAATCCGCGATGAGACAGTCGTGTCCGCGACCGGTAACGCATTTTTGCGATAGTGCAGGCGGGGTCACTCTTTGGAACCGTGATCTTCGGCCTCGGCGTTTCTCGTCGAGATTCTATATTTATAATAGGCTCATTTTGTGCCAAGCGTTATGAAGGAGCTCATATTAGGCACACACGCACATTTTACGCAGGCTTAGCGATGAAGTAACAAAGAAAGCCGGAAGGGAAGCGAAGGGAATGCCGGATAACATAGTGAGGGCATATCAGAACAGTTGAAAAAGGTCGCAATAAGAGAAACGAGTCCGTATTTTTATCTCACAGGCTTTTAATTGTCAATTTCGGAGCAATAATTTTATTTCGAACAATTATCGTGTCTATTCGTCGAGCGAAAATTCCAAATTGCCTCTCTCTCTCTCTCTCTCTCTCTCTCTCTCTCTCTCCCTCTCTCTCGAGGAAATACCGGAGCCGTGTATTGCGAAAGTAGCGTATCGGCTTTCAAATCTCGCTGAAAACACCAGGAAGTCGCGTGCTCGCCGTTTTGTTACTCGATCTCGGCTTGTCGCGCGAAATTAGCGACCGAATCGATATGAATATTCGAACACCGCATCCGGAAATGCATCACGGCACGCCACGTTCGGAATAAACGACTCGCGAGAGCACGACAAAACGCGATGAGAGCGCGCCGACCTTCTTCTCGGATGACGATTCAACCACCTTCGCCGGGGGAGACGGAGCTCGTTGTGGCGATTGTAAGAGAGTGGATCGGGATCGGGCAATGTGTGACAGGCATCGATATATAAATATATATACCCAGATACACATTTCGTGTCTCAAGAATGTCGCGAGTAAAGCGCGGGAGAAGCCGTGGAGAGGGTGGGGAACGGGAGAGGATGCGGAGCGGGGCGAGGATCGCGGGAAGAGCGGGTGTATGAAGGCGAAGAGGAGGGCAGAGCGAGTCGTGAGTCGTACGGCACTCTTTTACGGTGTTCGCCATAGTAAAAGCGGCTAACATCTACGTGATCTTGGAGAGGACCGCGTGCTTGGCGTGATTCGCGTGCTCTCAGCGGCAAATGGTAGGACAATCGCGAGATCGCAGGAATAAGAGGCGCAAGGGCGCGCGACACGACGACGACGGCGGTAAGTTCCGCCGAGGGCACGCGACAGTGAAGGGACGCCCCGTTAAGAAGGACGCCAGCGGCGAGGAACGTCGAAATTAAACGCAGGGTGCGTGAAACTGATCCGCGAGAGAATCGCGATCGGCGTGACTCGTCGGCCGACCACCGGTGCGAACGATCGCCGACGGAACACCGGTCGCGTGCGGATATACGCAAACAGAGCGTGATGTAACAATGATATGATTGTGAAAATAAAGAAACTGAATAAAAATAAACGATAAAAATTGAAGAAAAAAAAAACAGAAAGAAAGAGAAAGATAGGTACGCAAAGAAGGAGGAAAGAAAGTGGTTATACGATACAAGCACCGAGTCGAACAGATTTCCGAATGAGAGGAGATTAAAAACAAGGGAAGCAGGAAGCGAGGCTAAGACTGTGAGCAATAATGGGCGCAATATCGAATAATACACAAGTATATATATAATATGTATATATAAATATAAATATTACAAGGGATTATAGCGAGTCTCGGGAAGTTCTGTTTCACTTTTCTTTTATCATAGAAAGAGATGAAATAAGAAGAAGCATTAATAAAACACAAATATTCATGCATTTCTCAAGCATTATTATTACAAATACTGGCTGACTCCTTGACAAACCCCGTGAGCGTGCACGCGCAAAAACGCAATTCGAGACTTGCGAGATTGACTATTATATCTCTCTATCTCGAGTCGGCGCAAGCTGTCGCGTTTCATCAGTTTCCCCCGTGAGCTTGCACGAGGGGACGACGTCGATCCTAACGCATCGGCGCGCATACACATAAACGCGAGTACACACAACACGGTGATTCGAAGTGAATTCGGACAGACTCGGAGTAGACCTTGCGCGCGAGCGCGTACAATCGTTGAGAATGCACCGGACTTTTGCATCTGCATTCCCGGGGTCGTGCGTAACGTATTCTCAAGATATAATCATAATTATACATATGTGTAAGTCTAGTTATGTTGTATACATATGTGTGTGTGTGTGTGTGTGTGTGTGTGTGTGTGTTTACATATATGTATAATAATGTACAATGAGGAATTTATATATATATATATATATATATATATATGTATGTATGTATGTATATAGAGACAGTATACACAGTACACAATAATAAATACTATCTGTATGCGTGTATAGTTATGTCGTAAAATGTTTTTTTTTTCATTTCTCTCTTTCTCAATTGTAATAGTGCACTCGAGTGTGGTGTGTATACGCGTGGTCATGTATATACACATACATAGTCCACAAAATAATCTCCCGTATGTATGTATGTATGTATGTATGTATGCGTGTAATTTAGTTATCTTGCGACAATTACGTCCTATATTCTCCGTTCAATTCGTTGCATCGCGTTAACTTACATGCAACAACGACAATATGTACGCGTATATATATATACATATGTGTGCATATATATATATATATACGTAATTAATTTTTATTATATATATATATATATATATA